AGGCGGGGGCGGCGCGGCCCTCAGAACTCCCACTCCAGGGCCTCCTCGCGGTTGGCCGCCCGCTCCAGCCGGTAGATGATGCTGTTCAGGTTGGCCATCTTCTCGTGCCGCCGCTGCAAGCTGGGGTTCGCCTTGGCGCTGGGGTGCAAGGCCCCGGCTGTGTCGGCGGTGGGGCTGGCGCTCGGCACTTTGGCGGGGGGGCCCCGGGGCGGGGACGGGGAGACGGGGGCCGAGGAGGAGGGCACCGGGGACACAGACCCCAGGAGGCCGGGGGAGGAGGCGGCCGACGGGGAGTTCAGAGACACCTCCAGGCTGCAGCGCGAGGACGCCGAGGCCGACTTGAAACTGAGGGGGTCGGGGCGCGCTCGCCCCCCTGCCTCGCCCTCCTGGGCGTGCTGTGCCAAGGCGCAGTCTGGGCTGGGCCCACCGGGCAGGGGCGGTCTGCCCTCGCTCCCCGGGGGGTCCGGAGGCGCCCCTCTCGGGGAGCCCTGGTCCCTGTCCGGCTCCCCCGCGTCCCGAGGCTGGCTGCCGGCCTCCTCTGTCTGCTCCTGCTTGATCCTCACTCGGGCCTCGTCCCGGGCGCCCGGGGCCGCCGCGCTGTCCTCGGGGCCCTCGCGGAGCTCTGGCTCTGTCGCCGGAGGTTTCCGGTCCTCGGCCTCGGAGTCGGGGCTCCCGGGTGTGGGGTCTGGGTGGGGGTGGCTTGGCGGGAGGACTCCAGGGCCCCCGCTGGAGTCAAGGTCTGGCTCATCCTGGGTGCCCTCCACCAACATCTCCCGGCGCATCCGGGACCTGGGGCAGAGATGGCGATGAGCGGAGGGCGGGGTGGGGGCTGCGGCCGAGCCCCGCCGAGTCAGGGGATGGCACGGTGCCCCACCCGTGCCCTGGAGCTCACAGGCCCTGAGTGCTTCACATGCAGCATTTAACGGGCCCCTTGAGCGGCTCTGGAAGGTGGTGCTGTGTCTGATCTGCACTCCACAGAGGAGGGAACGAGGCTCAGAGAGGGTGAGCGACGTGCCCCGAGCCACACAGGGAAGTGTCAGGACTTGAACCCAGACGGCCGGTTCCAGAGTTCATGAGCTATGCGTGGTCCTGCCCCGTAGCCCCCTGTGGCCTGAAATGTGATCCGTCTCAACTGAGCGTCTGCTGAGAGTGAGCTCATGTTTTTCTATTGATTCGGTGCTGAAATAGTTACGTATGCACATACACAGGGCAGCTAGCATATGCCGTTACGACGACAAGTTTCTTAATGGCTCCTAGAATGTTGCAAAACACTGTGACTTGCAAGCTATTTCTACCGGACAGTACATCACACAGAGTCACACGGGAGCCAGCTGTGGCAACAACTCCCTGCTTCTTCCCTGCGACTCTTACACATCATTACAAAAGGGAAACTGAGGCACCAAGCCTCGCTTGTCCAGGTCACCACAGCACCCCGGCAGTGCCGGGACCAGAACCTGCAGACCCCCATCTCTCTCCAGTGTCACAGCCTCTCTGCTGTCAGAACGGCGCTATGTTTGGGGCAGGATGGGCCAGAACTGGGTCTAATCCCATTTAGTATTTTCCCAACAGCCAGTGAGGTCCAGAGAAATCAAACGACTCGTGCAAGGTCACAGCGCTAGGCTTCATCAGCACCTTCAACGCTCTGGCCCTCTGCTGATTTCTGTTAATAGTAAAGTAGGTGTCACTAACAGAGACAACTCTAAGTCGCAGCTGTAGACATTACACGTGTCAGGCACTGGGTCAAACATCTTTTGCAGAGAATTTCATTATTTCCACAATAACCTGATGAGGGGTTACCGGTCCCCTCACCATCGCGAAAGGAACAAGGCTTGGGAGACGCAGGCTCCGTCACAGTCACAGAACGAGCGAGCTGTGGGCGGGGCCGAGCCCAGCAGTCCGGCCACTTGCCCCAGCCTCCCCGTTCCCTGTCCAAGTCCATCCCAGGACCCTGAGCCCAGGGGGAACGTCCTTTGGTTTTTTTGCTTTTGGCTTTCCCAGTCTTCTAGGGAACTTCATTGTCTCCTAGCCCCCACTAGAGGGAAGAGCTGCTAGGACCAGGGGGATCCCTCGTGGGGTTCCCTGAGGTGGGAACGGAGGAAAGTTTAGGATGGCTCAATGCTTGAAGTTCCATTATTAGAACTTCCAACTGTAGATCACATACAAATACCAGGCTCCTAGTCACTCACACTTTAGTACAAATTAGACCATTTAACTTCTTGACTCCCAAATCTACAGCAGGGCCTACCTACCACTTTTTTGTCAAAACACCCTCTTGTTCCCATTTTCCAGAACTCACTGTAGTGTGTATTGATATATCAATGTGACTTTCGTTTAACAGGGCCCTTCCTTCCTGACTGGTCTGTAAGAGATGCTGAGAGCAAGGACTTTGTTTTCTCTTTGGCGCCTGGTACACAGTAGTCAATAAAGACCTGCTAAGTGAAATAAATTTCTTCTATAATTATTATTCTTTCAGAGTTGCTGCTTTTGGACATGGAATTCTCTGTGTCCCTTGGTAAAAACTTCTATTCATCTTTCAACGCCCTGTTCAGACGCCACCTCCTCTGTAAAGGCTTCCCCAGGGAGAATTCCCCTTTCCCCCTCTTTAAACAAAAATAGCATTTATTAGGTTGTCGCGGAATTACCAGATTCACAGTTTTAAGCTCCCTCAGGGCAGTTATGACGGCTCGAAGCCCTTGTCCCCCAGGCCCTGGCTCACGGTGCTTACGTGGCAAATATTTGTTGAATAAATATGCTTTACAACAGTGAAATGTGCAGTTCCTATGGGGAACAGCCTCATTATCTCCTGGGGAGGGAAGAAGGAAATGAGGCTTCAAGGAGCTGTGTGCTCTGGCCGTGGGCAGACTCTGGGTCTGAGCCAAGTGACAAGTCATGTGTGATGGGGTGGTTCTGCCCCCCTTCGGCCCTCGATCCAGTACCGTGAGGTGTGAGGTTTCTGACGTGTGAACTAGGAGTGAGACTCAGAGAGGGGATCTGACTTGCCCAGGGACACACAGCTAAGATGGGACTTGAACTCGGGTCTGAGTGAACGCCCAGGCCTAGGCCTTGGCGAGAGGAGGCCGCCAGTCCCCAGGCTCCTTCCTCGTCCGCCTTGGGAAGTGGCGACCACTGTCCCGGGAAAGCCAGAGGGCCTTCCTCTCTGGCCCGCTCGGACACTTCCGCTCTGAGGCTTGGCGGGGACACCTCAGACATGGTCCCTGGAATCGCCAGGGCTCTCAGCTGGTCAATGCCCCAGCCACCCCGGGAAGCCCAGCCCACTGCGGGTGAGCAGCGCCCCTCTCTGGGGGCCGGGGGGTGGGGGCGCAGCCAGGGAAACACAAACCACCCATCACCGCGGGTGTTACAGGCAGGCCCAGAGCTGCGCTCCAGCCCCCACACCAGGCGCAGAGGTTGGCTGGGGCCGCTCGGTCTGCGCCCCAACACTCGCCTGCTCCCTCCTCGAGGCAGACAGTCCCGTCACCCCACGCAAGCTGCACGCCGGGACTTTACACGGATCCTCTGAGGACACCGAGCCGGTCCCGCCGCGGTTCGGCTCAGGGCGGACGACCGGCGCAGGGGTGGGGCTGCCCGGCGC